CCCATATATATTTTTTTTTAATAAATTATTTAAATGTAGTATTTTTTATTTTATTTCTAATTTCTATCTTGCACATGAAACATTTTTTTTTACATAATAAAAATATTAATAAATCAAACAATATTTTATGTCAATTAAGTCGTTCCTGCGCGTGAATACCCTATAACTATTGATAAAAAAAATAAAAATAAAAACTAGATGACAAATATTTAACATCATTACACATGAAACCTTACTAGTTTATTAATATACTAGTAAATATAAGAATAAACAAACCAAAAAATATAAAAGAGTGCAAATACCATAATAATAAAAAAAAACAAAACAAAACCCGCGGGCGGGCCAATTTGGCCCGCGGGCTAATGCTGGCGGGCCACGGGCTATGTATTTTCCAGCCCGCAAAAATGCGGGCCATTTTGGCCCGCCCCGTTTGGACCGCGGGCCAGCACGGGCCGGAGCGGGCCGGGCCGGACCGGCCCGTTTGACAGTGCTACCTGTAGTAGCACGACGGAATCCATAGTACTGAGCGTTACCCAAACTGTCGTGCCGAAAATTGCCCAAAACCCTCACCACAACGCCATTGATCTGAGAAAAGGGGCCGCCATGATGTGCGAAACCCTCGCCAATAACCACTGCTGCATGTCGTGGTGCTGCACATCTTAGCCATCGTGCGCAGCAATAGGCTCAGCCTCGATGTGCAGAGATTGATGATCGCCAAAAGGGTTCACCCTCGAGATTGTCTCGTCGTCTTTGTCGTCGGATGGTGGTTGTGGAGATCTCTGGCGAGGCGTTCGCCTGGACCACGGCCTCCACATCCTCCGCGAACTCCCCCACGCACACCCCGGTTGCCGGTGTCGCGGTTCGTCTGCAAATCTTCAAATATGTTGTTGATCGTACGACGCATTTTGTTGATCTCCATCGAAAGATACTGGAAAAATTAGAGATTTAGTCCTTTAAGTGGCACCGATTTGAGGTTTAGTCCTTTAACTGACCAACTTTTAGAAAAGGTCCTGTAAGTTCCAAAAAACGTGATAAATAGTCCTGCCACCGGCTAACAAGGGTAACTCTCACCGGCTTGCTTACCTGGATTTTGTTTTTAAATTTTCTTTTTTTTAATGTGCCACATCGGTTAAAGGAAATGAACGGGGGTCTTAAATTGGGGGAAAAAAATCCCTAATTCTCTCCAAAACTCTTCACTTCACTTTCTCTAACCTAACAAAGATCGATCCCGATTTCATCCAAGCCCTAAGAAACCAATTTCTGCAAAATTTCAGTTCGTTGAAAAGTTCTGCTACAATGCCCGATCTAATGACGTTCAGGCCACCGGAACACTTCGAGTTTGAACCACCTGATTCAAGTACATATAGAATCAGAGAATATGTCTCCAAACATTCTTGTCCAATGATCATGGATGTTAAAAATCTTAATTCAAGTTGGTTGGCTGGGAGATATCTCCATAAGTTCCAGTCAGATCCTACAAGAAAACCCAAAGGATCCAGAGTTGATTGTGTGCAAAGTCTAAGGTGTAATGTCACCCCATTTCAGGCATGGAGGGCCAAAAAATTGCTTTGGAGAAGCTGGAAGGAAACATAGAGGAACAATACAAACTGTTGTAGGCATATGCAAATGAAGTAAGGAGATCTAACCCTAATTCAACTGTGGTAATTGGGTTGCACCAGGATCAAACATTTGAGAGGATTTATGTTTGTTTTGCTTCACTGAAGATGGGTTTTCTAAATGGGTGCAGAAGGGTTATTGGAGTTGATGGGTGTCATATCAAGAGTGCACAAGGTGGAGTAATATTAACAACTGTGGGTTTGGATCCAAACAATAGTATTTTTCTTATTTGTTATGCTGTTGTTGAATTGGAAAATGGTGAAACATGGGGTTGGTTCTTGAGGTTATTGAAGGCTGGTCTTGGAATTAAACATGATTATCAATGGTGCTTCATGTCAGACAAGCAGAAAGGTCTTATCCAAGCATTCAATGATGTGTTTCCAAATGCTGAACATCGGTTTTGTATTAGACATATGCAAGGTAACATGAGGAGAGCTGGTTTTATTGGACAGTCATTCAAATTAGTTGTGTGGAGGGCAGAAAATGCCACAACTGTGAATGATTTTGTAAGGAGGATGTCTGAGGTAAGACAACTAGAAGAGAAGGCATATGATTGGCTTAAAGACAAGCCTCCTGCCTAATGGAGTAGATCTCATTTCAGCACACTGGCTAAGTCAGACATCTTGTTAAACAATCTTTGTGAGACCTTTAATGGGAACATTTTGGAGGCTAGACAGAAGCCTATTCTAACTATGCTGAAAATGATTCAGTTGTATTTGATGGAAAAAATGCAAAAGGCCAGAGAGAGAGCTAGCAAGAATTGGAGAAAAAGTGTCATTTGCCCTGGGATTAATAAGATTGTGCAACAAAACCTGCAGAACATTCCTGATTGTATCCCTATAAAAGCAAGTGAATTTAACTATCAGATAAGCTGCAGTAATAGTTCTCAATTTTCTGTTGACCTATACAATAATACATGTGGTTGTAGGAAGTGGGATCTCACTGGAATTCCTTGTGTTCATGCTTTATCTGCCATTAGATATAGGGGGTTTGAAGTAAATGACTTTGTTGACAGATGTTACTATCTGGATACTTACAAAGCTGTATATGCAAGCATCTTGATGCCAATGAATGGCAGAGACCAATGGCCTATGTCCAATTTTATACCTGCCAAACCCCCCAATTTTGGGAGAAGGGCAGGTAGACCCACCACAACTAGAAGGCTAGAACCTGATGAGGTTATGCCAAAAGAAAAGAAGAGGAATAGAAGACAGAAATGTATTAATCCCCACAAGATTCAAAGTCAAAAGAATGTGATCACTTGTGGTAACTACGGTTCAAAGGGTCATAACAGAAAACATTACAAAAGCACATCTGAATTTGCAAGTCAGGTCACTCAAGAAGATACTCTCCCTCCCACTCCACAGGTGATATTGCAAAATGATATTTTCCTTTTTTATGTTTATTTTTACATACAATGATGGTTATTATTTTTCTTTATCATAATTATATAGGTTCATGAGCATACAGCAAGTGAATTTGCTAGTCAAGTCACTCAAGAAGAAGTTATTCTTCCTCCAACTCTACAGGTGATAATAATACTGATAATGTTATTTCCTTTATTTCATTATATGTACTTACTTACTTGCAATGTTTAGGTTCTTAAGACCTCAATCCCCAATCCTAAGAAGCCATCAAATCTAAATCATAATATTGTTATCCAGGTGATAATTGTTAATAAAGTTAATGACATTTTTCATCATTAATGTTTGATATAAGAGAATATATATATATATATATATATATATATATGGTACATTAATATGTTTTTATTGCTTTTCAGGATGGTGCATTGAATGATGCTACATTGGAGCAACCTCCAACCATGTGGGACCAACTTCAGTCCCAACAGAACAATGAGCCTGGAGGATCTTCAGCATATAACATGAAGCCCCGGAAATATGTCACATTTTCAGACTTGAATGCATGTCTTGCTAAACAGGGTACAAAAATGGTACAGGGGAAGGGCAAAAGAAAGAAGAAGAATTGATGTAGTTGCCTATTTTTTTATGAAGAAACATTAAACATTGTTTTGGTTATGTTATGGGTTGATGTTCTTCAGATTGGTTTTTGTGAAACTGGGATTTTCTTATGTTTGGGTTGATGTTCTACAGATTGTTTTTTGTGAAACTGGGATTTGCTTATGTTTGGGATCTTAAACACTCAAGTACTTTGTGTTATAATTATGGCAATGGGTTTTATGATTCAACCTATGTTAGTTTTATGGTTATTGATGTGGTTTGATGGTTTGATTGTGATAGCTAGCTTTGACTATGGTATGATGGTTGAATATGCTTATACTTGTAGCTGTTGTATGATGTTTATGGCCTTTGGTGTGATTGTTTTATGCTATACTGGTTTTATCTTTGGTGTTGTATGATGTTTGGCAGGAAATAAATATAATCAATAACATTATAAGCTATAAACATCAATGATCATATGTTAGCTTTTTTTGGTTGGAAACAAAGTCACTGATGGATGGAAATTCAATAAAAACTGATCCTCAAGATGATACTCAATGTGGCAGATTCATTCATCAAGAATATATCCTTACACAAATCAAGTACTTAACAGATCCTTACACAAAGTACTTAAAATAGCTAGGTAAATTGAAATTGATTCATCAAGTACTTGCTTACACAAATCAAATCCAACACATTCTAACAAAATACAAGACCAAGAAACAACAAGGTGTCTGACTCATTAGATAAATCCTAAACACTTGAACAAAATAATTAAGCACCAAGAAATCAATAAGTACATCTTCAATTTGCGCCTCTGATTCTCCAAAATTTCAACTTGTTTCATCAGTGTCTCCTTCTCTTCACGAAGCTTCCGAATCACATATAGACTACGTCGAGGAATTGGTTGATCTTCCCAAGCAAAAAAATTACAGCCTCCAAAAAAATGAACGGGTGTCTTAAAGTGGAGGAAAAATCCCTAATTCTCGCCGCTCGTCATTTTCATTTCTCAAACCCTAAGAAAATCCCAATTTCATCCATAGCTCGATCCATTCTCCAAGGCCTAAGTAAAATCCCAAATTCACCATGTCCTCGTCGGTCAGTAGCCCCAAGGTCTCTCCGTTTTGTAACTGTGGGAAGAAAGCGAAGCTGTGGACCTCGTGGACTGAAGCTAACCCGGGTAGGCGATTCAACGGGTGTGAAGATTGGGAGGTACGCTTTTCTCTTAAGCTCTGTTATGCCATGTATTTTCTCCTTTTTCATTTTTCTAAAACATTATTGTTGCCCTAATTCAGATTGGAGGCTGTATTTTTTTTGCTTGGGAAGATCCCCCAATTCCTCGACGTAGTCTCTATGTGATTCGGAAGCTTCGTGAATAGAAGGAGACACTGATGAAACAAGTTGAAATTTTGGAGAATCAGAGGCGCAAATTGAAGATGTACTAATTGATTTCTTGGTACTTAATTATTTTGTTCAAGTGTTTAGGATTTATCTAATGAGTCAGGCACCTTGTTGCTTCTTGGTCTTGTATTTTGTTAGAATGTGTTGGATTTGATTTGTGTAAGCAAGTACTTGATGAAGCAATTTCAATTTACCTAACTATTTTAAGTACTTTTGTGTAAGGATCTGTTAAGTACTTGATTTGTGTAAGGAATAAGGATATATTCTTGATGAATGAATCTGCCACATCGAGTATCATCTTGAGGATCAGTTTTTATTGAATTTCCATCCATCAGTGACTTTGTTTCCAACCAAAAAAGCTAAC